ATACATGAGAGTTGAAGTACAACCTGGAGTATATCCTACCTCAATTTAGAGACCATCTCAAGAACAGATTTGATTCATTTAACACTAAAGACTGAAGACCAGATACATGAAGAAAGCCAAGTCATTTTAATGACATGAAATAAAAAAAAGACCAAAACAGATGTCAGAAGAGACTCTGAAACTTGCTTTTGAATGAAGAGTAGGTAAAAGTGAATGGAAGAAATGAAGTAAAAGAGCTGAACAGAAGATTTCAAAGGGCAGCTCAAAAAGACAAAGTAAAATGTGGTAAGACCTAGAGTTAGAAAACCAAAAGGGAAGAATATGCTGAGCACTTTTCAAGCTGAAAAAACTGAAGAAAAAATTCAAGCTTTGAGTTGAATTATTAAAGGATTCTATAGGCAAAATACTGAATGAGGCAGAAAGCATGAAAAGAAGATAGAAGGAATACATAGTCACTGCACCGAAAAGAACTGATCGACATACTTAAGCTTGGCAGATGACACTTCTATGTATGTATTTTATGTGCAATAAGAATGTCCAAATATATAATGGGGCTAACAAGGGCAAAGTTATGATAACTTCTTGGCCACAGCCAACCATCTTGAGGGAGCAAGTAGTTGGACCTGTGGCCTTGGGACATGGTCACAGGGTATGTCAAGCTCAACTGGCATGACATACTATTCAAAAACATTGTTCCACATCCTATTTTGGTGAATAGTGACAGGAGTCTTAAAAGCTTGCGAGCAGTCATCTAGATGCAACAATGGGTCTCTCTTCATCCAGCGCAAAGAAGAATGATGAAAACTAAAGACATATGGAAACAATTAGTCCAAAGGAGTAGCAGACCATGTGATTCTCAACCTATATCACGAGACCAGAAGAACTAGATGGTGCCCAGAAAAGGATCAGTGCAGGAGATCCTAAATAGAGTGGGAGAACAATGTGGAAAAAAACTCAAAATCACAAAAAAAGACCAAGTTTACTGGTCTGAGAGAATCTGGTGAGACCCCTAAGACTATGGCCCCTAGTTACTCTTCAGTTCTAGAACTGAACTTACTTCCGTAGGTTCCAGCCAAACAACAGACAGGCATACAAGGTGAACATTTACATAAGGTAGATACACTCCTTAAAGCAATCAATTGTGGGAGAAGAGAAGGGCAGTGTTTGCACAGGGAGATAGCTTGAGGGGCAGGAATGCACAGGAAAGCACACTGGAAAGCAGTAACTCTGAAGGAAGTGGGAAGTGAACTGTTACACTGGGGAATTATAGTCAATGTCATGAAAGAAAATGTGTATGAACTGCTGTACGGAAAATGAACTTACTTTGTAAACTATCACCCAAATCACAATAAAAAATTTTTTAATAAAGAAGAACTGGTCAACATTCATATACCTCAGGAGGTAGCACAGGGTCAAGAATTGATGGTATTAAAGAAGTAGAAACTGCACTGAAGGCACTGACAAAAAACAAGACTCTAGGAATTGACAGAGTACTGAGAACTGAGATGTTTCAACAAAAAGATGCAATACTGGAAGCATTCTTCTATGTAAAAAAATGTGGAAGACAGGTATCTGGCCAACCGACTAGAAGAAATCCATATTTGTGCCAATTTCAAAGAAAGATGATCCAATAGAATGTGGAAATTATTGGACAATATCATTAATATTACAAGCAAGTAAAACTTTACTGCAGATATTTCAGAATCAGTTGCAGAATTACATTGACAAAGAATTACCAGAAATTCAAGCTAGACTCAGAAGATGATGTGGACATCACTGCTGATGTCAGATGGATCTTGACTAAAAGCAAAGAATATCAGAAAGATGTTTCCCTATTTCCCTGATTATGCAAAGGCATTTGACTATGTGGATCATAACTAATTATGGATAACACTGTGAAGAATGAGAATTCTAGAACACTTAATTGTGGAACCTGCACATAAAAAGAGGCAGTCGTTCAAACAGAACAAGCAGATATTACATGGTTTAAAATCAGGAAAGGTATGCATAAGGGCTGTATCCCTTCACCATACTTATTCAGTCTGTATGCTAAGCAAATAATCTGAAATACTGGACTATATGAACGTGGCATCAGGATTGGAGGAAGATTCATTAACCACTTGTGTGACATGCAGATGACACAACCTTGCTTGTTGAAAGTGAAGACTTGAAGCCCTGAGTGATGAAGATCAAAGACTACAGTCATTGGAATTACACCCGAACATAAAGAAAACAAAAATTCTCACAACTGGACCAATACACACCATGATAAACAGAAATTACTGAAGTTGTTAAGGATTTCATTTCACTTAGATCCACAATCAATCCCCATGGAAACAGAAGTCAAGAAATTAAATGCTGTATTGCACTTGGCAAATCTGCTGCAAAAGACCTCTTTAAAGTGTTAAAAAGCAAAGATGTCAGTGAGGTCTAAGGTGCATCAGGACCAAGCCATGGTGTTTTAATTCGCCTCATATGCATGTGCAAGCTGAAGAATGAATACAGAAGACTGAAGAAGAATGAACAATCTGAATATTGGTGTTGGTGAAAAACACTGAATATACCATTGACTGCCAGAATAACGAATAAATCTCTCTCTTAGAAGTACAGCCAGAACGTTCCTTAGAAGCAAGGATAGTGAGACTTTGTCTCACATACTCTGCACATGTTATCACGTGGGGCCAGTTACTTGGCAAAATAGTGGGTCAGCTAAAAAGAGGAAGACTTTCAATAAGATGGAGTGACACAGTGGCTGCAACAATGAGCTCAAATATAGCAACAACTGAGAGGATGGTGCAGGACTGGGCAGTATTCCATCCTGTTTTACATAAGATTGTTATGAGTCAAAACTGACTTGATGGCACCAAACAAAAGCTTAGGGATAAAATTGAGTTAGGGATAGATTCTAGTCTCAATTTTTCCTCCTTTTTATAAAAAAAACTATGTAAGTTAATACATGAATAAATATCAAAAAAGCATCAATATGGCAAACCCACATTAAAATTTATTTTTTATAGTTCATTTTAGTAGAACCTGAAACTAATTATACAGAAAGTTTGTAACTCCAAAGTCTGACTTTTTTACTTCTATTAGTTCAGAACAGTGCTACTCAAAGTATGTACCTATGAACTATTTGTTATGGTTAAGCACACAGCTTTCTTCATTGAAAGGCTTGCTACATAAACAAAATAAAAATTAAAAAACAAAACAAAAAAAAACCTAAATACTGTATTTAGTGATATAGCTGATTTACATTCTAGCACAAGCTTATGTTGCTGCAGACCAACATTAGTTGTCACATCACAGGAGTCTAGAGCATATTGAACACCGCAGGGTGAAGCACATGGTATTTCTACGTACCACCAACAAAAGGGAATGGGACTGGAAGAATTCACACACAGGCAGATGCCTTACCTTACAAAAAGGTCTTACCTTATGTCTTCTTTTAGCTTTTTATTTTCTCTGTAGTGAAGCAACCACTTCCATCTTCCATTTCCATTTAGTTTATCTAGGATTTTGGCAATTTCCTTCAATTGAACTACAGAATAAAATAAGTTTGGCAGAAAAAGATGTGTCTTAGGGTTTTTCTGATTCATACAAAGCCTAGTAATTATTTATTACTTGTAAAACAAAAATAAGATACCATGTTGGAGTATCTATCATCATCGCCACTTGTGTGGTTGGGAGTATTCCACTCTCACAAGTGCATAGTACATTTCAAAGATACACAACTATTATTCCTCAACTCAGTCCTAGGTACTCTACTATAGTAGAAGAAAACTATACAAAAATAAAAGTACTATAATTACCAGTAATTAAAGCTCTGAATGTGAATAAGTCATGGGAATGCAACAAAAATAGGAGATACTGTTGCAATATAGAAAAGTGTCCTAAGTTTCTAATATATAACCTTCAGATACTTTTTAACTCAGTTTCCATATAGAACTCATGTTTTTCCTTGTTAAGGTGTATCTTCTGTATCCACATTGAGTTTTGCTATGGTAACAGAGCTCTTGCAGGTTTTGTTTATTTGATCCATAAAAGCATCTGGCCTGTGCTCTTACATTCTTTATAAATTACCAATCAGTGGTCAAGCAGATAATAAAGAAGACTGTTAGTAGTCATTTGTATGTTGCTATGATATTAATGATAGTAGGGGTAATGATGTAGAAATGGAGAAGAGAGGCAGTTTCTAAACAAAAAATTTAATATATAGCTGACTTGAATTGGCAAGAAGAGTCAAATGTAACACTGAAATCTGAAATTTGTACTTAAGAAAGGGTACTTAAAAAGAGAAGCAGGATGGGTAGTAAAGATAATTAATTTAAAGTGGTTAAGAGTATGGGCTTTGGGAAAGAGAATTACATCAAACTATATAAAAAATGCTCAGCATAGCATATAGCACAAATTAAGCCCTCAACAGGTAGCATTTATTATTTTAGTGTTGATAACTTCATTCTGATGAAATAATATTTGGGTCATTGTGTAAGGAGAAATTGCATCTGACTAGATTTCAAAGAAAGATAGAAACATAATAGACCAACCGAATGTTAAAGTTTCTAATATTTTGTCATCTGATACCACAAAACCTCCTGTACGAAACAGCTCTTGATAGGTGTAGTCAAGAACATCTTCAGGACTGTCTATTCCAGCAAAGATAACACTTGGGAAATGCTTCAGCTTCAGCAAAGAAGGAATCTGTTCAACACAAAACGACCTCCACAGTAAAGACAGTTCACTGGGTCATGTTTTTCTTTTTTAAAAACCACTTTCATTTTGTTACTTTTCAACTCAAGGATTTTAAGGTTCAGGGAGAACAGGTGAAAATATCTTTTAACTTTCATTACTAACCAGTAATTTTACCACACATAAGGAATAGATTTATTCATCATCCATAACTGCAACCTCATTAAAAATTTTAATTAAAAAGAGGTCTCTAAAGTTCTCAAGGGAGCTCTGGTAGCATAGTGGCTAAAGCACTTGACTGCTAACCAGAAGGCTAGCGGTTCAAACCCACCAGCCACTCCTCGGAAGGAAGGTTGGGCAATCCTACTTCCGTAGTGATACTGCCTCGGAAACCCAAGGAGGGGTCGCTATGAGTCGGGGCCAACTCGACGGCACATAACAACAACAACAACAACAACAAAGTTCTCAAAAGATAGAAATAAAAAATAGTTTAGTGAGAGAAGAGCATTCCTGAGGTTTTGAGAAACTGTAAACTCACACATCATTCCCTGATCCAGTGTCAGCACATAAAGGGCCAAGTTATTAACTACAGAAAACAACAGGATTATAGGTTTATCCTATGTCCCTAAATTGGAACTTTGTGGAGCCAGCAATTACTTTAATTAATAATCATAACAAGGGTATAACCTAGAAAACAGGAAGTCTAGTAGCAATAGAGAAAAGACAAATCTCACTTTCCACTTATATAATTAGGGAGCACATAAAGATAAAACTAGGGACTCTCTTTTCTGGCTAGAGATTTAAGAATGCATTTTTTTTTTTTTCCAGAGATTTAAAAAAATTTTCCTATTAACGAAAGGAAAATTATGAAAAAAGGTAAGATATTGGTAAAATTCCTTACCTGAGATAATAATCTGCATCTCGCAAAGGATGGCAATAAGAAATTTGTCTTTAAAAGGGAGTATTACAAGGTCCTGAAACATAATTTGCCCTACAAATACCTTTGTAATATTACAATATAGTACATCATCTTGATCCCATTGTTTTTCCACTTAAATAATGGTAATGTGTTTTAACTTATTCTCTAAATATAAAAGGCAGGGAGGAGTCTGATAATTACAGAGTAACAAAATGCTTGGAATTCATTTCTTTGTAAGAAAGGTATTTCCAACTTACTTGATGTAAATGTGATGATATATCCTCATTTCTGATGATGATTATCAGTGTATCATTCTCTATGTGAAAAGCTTGACAGAAATGCTGAGGTTCAATTTCTTTATGGCCTTCTTTCCTCAGAATATTCTGAAAGATTGCAAGTAGATACCACTAAAAAATAGGATACTTGCACTGAAGTACTTCATAGTTTACTAATAATCCATGAAAACCCCCCCACAATTTATCCTATATCAAGGTAACATAAATAGTAATTGATTTTATTATTAAATAAGCTCTTTATATATATAAAACAAATAACTTTGGCTATCATTAACAACTGCTTTAGAAGTTTATTTCAGAGGCAAAACACTTTTTAATCTTTCATGTCCAAAAAGTATCAAAGGCTGGTATTTTTTAAAACATCACACTAGTATACATAAATGAATCTCACCTTTTTCAAGAGAATTACCTTTGGGATGTCATATATGCACTCTAAAAATGCTACCTCAGGTCAGATATTTCTAGAATAATTTTTTTATACCATCCATCTAATACCGAAGAAGAGTTGATGCTTTTGAGTTGTGGTGCTGGCGAAGAATGCTGAAAGTACCATGGACTGCTAAAAGAACTAACAGATCTGTCCTGGAGGAAGTGCAGCCAGAATGCTCCTTGGAAGCAAGAATGGCCAGACTTTGTCTCACCTACTTTGGTCATGTTGTAAGAAGGGACCATTCCCTGGAGAAGGATGTCATGCTTGGTAGGGTGGAGAGTCGACGAAAGAGGGGGAGGCCTTCAACGAGATGGATTGACACGGTGGCTGCGATGATGGGCTCAAGTAAAGCAGGGATTGTGGGGCTGGCGCGGGATCGGGCAGTGTTTCGTTCTGTTGTGCATGGGGTCGCTATGAGTTGGAAATGACTCGACGGCACTTAACAACAACAACATATAATACCTATGCCTTTCTTTGAGTCTCACTAATGGGGAATGATTTCATATTCCCTTGAATCTAGGCCACTGAGTTGGAATCAACTCCATGGCAGTGGGTCTGGGTTTTGAATCTAGGTATCTGAGTAAGATAGGTTATGTAGTTTAAACCTGCTCCACAGAAAGCACCTAGTTATAAAGCACTTTGAGATGTAGTTTACTACCATATTAAACAGACTAGCTCTGTAATAAATTTGTTTGGTAATTACAAAAACTCCTCAACCCAGAAAAGAAAAAAAAAAGATGGTGGGGACCAGGTTTGCTGGTCCAATAGAGCCTGATGGAACCACT